CCCGTCCGCCTGCGGCCCGCCCCGCCGCTCGTGGCTCACGGATGGCCTCTCCCGCCGGGCCTGGGCCTGGCCCGCACGCGGTCTGTGGGACGGGGAGCGGGCACAGCCCGGGACGCCCCAGGCCCGGGCCCAGCTGGCCCTCCCAGGAGGCCGGGACCCGAGCATCACGGCTGGAGACCAGTCCGGGCAGGAAAGCCCACGGGACAGCTCCAGTGAACCCCGGAAAAAGCCGGAAGTGGCGCTGTGACAAGTGGTGGAGCGCTAGCCTTGAGCGCAAGCCTCAGGGACAGGGCCAGCCTGCCCCCGCCCAGGAGCCCGTCCCCAGACCTCCCGGCAGGGCGAGAGAGGGCCTCGGGCTCCCCCCGAGCCCCGCAGCTGGGTCTGAAGCCCTGTCCTTTTCCCCAGGCCCCCCAGCGGCAGCCCCCCAGGGGGACCTGTTGTTCCTGTTGGACAGCTCAGCCAGTGTGTCACACTACGAGTTTTCCAGGGTCCGGGAGTTTGTGGGGCAGCTGGTGGCGCCACTGCCCGTGGGCCCCGGGGCCCTGCGTGCCAGCCTGGTGCACGTGAGCAGTCGGCCGCACACCGAGTTCCCCTTCAACCAGCACGGCTCGGGCCAGGCTGTCCAGGATGCCGTTCGAGCTGCGGCCCAGCGTATGGGCGACACCAACACAGGCCTGGCGCTGGCCTACGTCAAGGAGCAGCTGTTTGCCGAGGCCGCGGGTGCGCGGCCAGGGGTGCCCAAGGTCCTGGTGTGGGTGACAGATGGGGGCTCCAGCGATCCCGTGGGCCCCCCTATGCAAGAGCTCAAGGACTTAGGTGTCACAGTCTTCATTGTCAGCACTGGCAGAGGCAACTTGTTGGAGCTGTCGGCAGCAGCCTCCACCCCTGCGGAGAAACACCTGCGCTTTGTGGATGTGGACGACCTAAGCATCATCACCGCGGAGCTGCAGGCCTCCATCCTGGGTGAGCCAGTGGCCAGAGGCCGGGTGCCGGGTTGTGAGGTGCCAGGTGTTGGGCCCGGCCACCTGAGGGCGCTGTGGGCAGGCAAGTGAATTAACTGCACCTAACGCCCTGTGTCCACCAACACGGGAGCTGTGGAGAGGCAGGCCTGAGTGGCCCTCCGGGGGGCTGCCGTGTGTGGACGTGAGGAGAGCTGGGGTTCTCTGGATAGGATACGTTATGAGGGAAAGGGGGTCCCCCCGCCTGGGGGCTCTGCCGGCAGTCGCAGGCACCTGTGGGTGTCCAGGGTCCCACTGGACACGCCCCTCAGGTGCCTTCCTCAGAGCTCAGGCCTCATCCAGGAGAGGATTTTGCTCTGGGACTGCTGGGGAGGAAGCCAGACCAGCCAAGTCCTGTGTCAGCCGCTCAGCAGCCCCACGCTGGTTTTATTTGATTCCTCTCCAGCCAGGCCCCAGAGGAGAAGAGTTAGAGAGGATCTGGTGGCTGGCCAGGCCCACACAGCAATGCCACCACCTCAGGCCCTTCCCAAGTCACCACACGGGGGTGGGAAGGGGCTAGTCCGTGGGCCAGACGGGGTGGAGGGGCCTCTCCACCTTCCCAGCCCTGTGGCCTTTAGACCAACAACACAGCTGAGCGGGGAAAGAACAAAAGCAAAGGCTGCGTCCACCAGTCCCGCTCGCCCGAGTGTCACTCAGATGTCACAGGCTCAAGATGCACATGGAAGCCGGGCGCTGGTGGCTCACGCCTGTAATCCTAGCTACTCAGGAGGCTGAGATCTGAGGATCGCGGTTCAAAGCCAGCCCGGGCAGGAGAGACCGTGAGACTCCTATCTCCAATAAACCACCAGAAAACCGGAAGTGGCGCTGTAGCTCAAGTGGTAGAGTGCTCGCCTTGAGCTGAAGAGCTGAGGGACATCGCCCAGGCCCAGAGTTCAAGCCCCACAACCGAAAAAAAAAAAAAAAAAAAAGATGCACATGGAAGCCTGTCTTCACCAGCATGCTGAGGGACACAGCTGGACTTCATGTCCAGCTGCTCCTGAGGCTCACTTCTCCACTGCCGACCTGACCTCAATGGCCCCCATCTCCTCACTGCTGTCCTGCCCCCCCACCCCATCTCCTCACTGCCCCCTGACCCCATGACCCCATCTACTCACTGCCCCCTAACCCCCGTACCTCACTGCCATCCTGCCCCCCTCCTATGACCCCATCTCCTCACTGCCCCCTGACCCCCCGTGACCCCATCTCCTCACTGCCCCCTGACCCCCCGTGACCCCATCTCCTCACTGCCCCCTGACCCCATCTCCTCACTGCCCCCTGACCCCCCGTGTCCCCATCTCCTGGCTGCACCCTTTGGCACTCTTGGCATCAGGGCAAAGAGCCCAGCTGACACCAACCCTGTGCCTCGGGGTGCAGGGTGAGCCTCGGGTCTGAGACCCCAGGGCTGTGCGGCTGGCGTGGGTGGGGAGGCAGGGCACCGTCCCCCGGGTCTGGGTCTGGGCTGCAGCTGAAAGGGCTCTGAGGGGGGGCCGCACGCCCTCTGCCTCCCCCAGCGGCTCCGGGCCGAGGTAGAGCCGCCCGCGCCCTGACCGCGCGCCCCGCACCGCGCAGGCGCAGTGCAGCCGCAGCGGCTCCACGCCGCCGAGGTCACCCCCCACGGCTTCCGCCTGGCCTGGCCGCCCCTGCTGACCGCAGACTCCGGCTTCTACGTGCTGGAGCTGGCGCCCAGCGCGGAGCCCGAAGCCGCGCGCCGCCAGCGGGTGCCCGGGGACGCCACGGGCTGGAGCTGGTCCGGCCTGCGCCCGGACACGGACTACGACGTGGTGCTGCTGCCCGAGTCCAACTTGCGCCTGCTGGGGCCGCAGCACGTGCGCGTGCGCACTCTGCCAGGTGAGGGG